TAAGTAATTATTACTCTATTAGGCGATAAAACTAAAAATAACACTTACTGGAAAAGATTTTATGGACCAGACAATTTCACTGTTCTCTGGAACCCATTTGACACTTCCAACAGTGGTTTTAAATTTTGGCGAGTCCGCATCATTTGGAACCGGAATGTGAATCTCCACATTGTTGGCAGTTGATCTACGCTTAAATTGACTTTTTGCCTAAAGAAGAGATTAAAAAAAAAAAAAAAAAAAAAAAAGGTAAAAATCAGCAAAGCAGGCCTCTAAATATTTCCATTATGTTAGTGAGTTCAGAGAGCTGCAAGACACAGAATTCCCCTTCACCCCAATCTACTTTCTGAGAAACAGAAATGTAACAGAGATAACTTACAAATGAAATTTTTTAAAAGATGCAAGTCCCACAGAAATACTAAATACTTGTACAAAAGTTGGTCAAGCTTTGAAAACAAATGAAAGAGAAAAGTAAAATTAGCCACAATTATTTTAGAACTTCTGACCTTGATCATGTACTCGATGCGGCTGTGGGAATGTTTTTCAATCACAGACTCAATCCAGATCAGTGGTTTTACCTAATGGGGGAAAACAAGTCACAGCTGTAGGTTTTACTCTGACACAGTCATGAAAATGTTGCTTCCCCATAAAGCTATGCCCAACACGTGAACCCCGCAGAAAACAGAAAGTCTGTGGTGTTTGAAAGGACAAACAAGTTGTGGATTTGTTTTTTTGTTTTTTTAATTAAAAAATTATACAAATGAGCAAGCATTGATATACCAACAACCAAGCATCACAAGAATTACAGGCTTAAAAAGGTAAGTTTCAGACCAATCCCTAATAACAAACACATTCCAAAATGTTTGTTAAATTGACACAGTAGAGACTGAACAATGACAAGCCCTAAAAACAACACTATTTCAAACTAAAAATAATAATAAAATAATACTAAATTTTAAATTAGTTGTCTCCTGTCATAGTTGCACACTACAGACCTTCTCTATACTGATTTTTTTCCTTTTCTGAAAGGACAATTATTTTTATCACTGTGGCTAGCATAATGACATAAATACAGCTGTTGTCAAGCACAATGAATTGCTACACTGTTATTTCATCACACAGTTAGCTTAAAAAAAATTAAATCATCACAGGAATGGTTATTTCAGAACCAGTTTCAATAGTAGTTGAAAAGACAGAGACTTATTGCTGAGTTATTTCTAAACTCATTCTTACTTCCTCCAGAAAGAGGGAGCACAAAGCTTTGCTATAACAGTTGACGTGAAAACTACTATGCTGTCCATACTTTTAAGGAAAAAAAAATAAAAGGAAAGCCATTAGCAATTTTACCTACAATCTAAAACATTATCTTATAAAAAAATGCAAACATCCAGACTTACGTGGGTATTAAGACGGTATGACATGAGTTCAAACTCTCCATCAGGTGGAATGAAAGAAATTGTCCTGTCGTTCTCAAAGCGAGAGAGACGAACACACTGGTGAAACTTCACATCTTCCAGTTCCACCGATTTACTTTTGCCACCTAGCAGAAAATACACATTTCAAGGTGCTACTCAAGTTATGGCTGAAGTCTCATCACAGCCAGTTACACGGCGAAGCAGCTGTCTGCTGACATTCCTCTCTTTTGGCCAATACTTTCTTTAGTTTGCTGTAGGTTTTTAGGACTACAAAAGTCCCAAAGCAAAAAGAGATGAGGAAGCCTAGATGGTTACCATGCATTACCACGGTATTCCATCTTTGCTTGGTTCTGTCACACAAGACTTACTGTGGTTTTCTACACTGATAAAGGGAGTATTTCTATCTTCTTCAAATAAATCCTTTCAGCTGAACCTCAAGTATCCCCAAAACTAAGATTTCAGATAACATCTTTCAGGATTATCGAGATATCACCGAAATACTCACGGCCTGTATTATCAAAGAGAACTTTGTCATTTAAACCAAGGCGCAGCTCTGGCATTCCCGAGAGAAAGACTCGCATTTTAATGGATCCAACTATCTCGCTCCGTAATACGTTTCCATTGGCACTGACCTGAACACAAACCAAACAAAAGGCAAGATTGCTCCCGTGCGATATGCTCTGGCATCCCACAGCACTCCCACCCCTTCCCCATGTCCCAGTTTGCTTGAATGCTCTTCTCCCGAGAAATTAATCCAGCAGAGTAGAATTGGACCATGGAGGTGACAGGCATAGATGGAGGAGGACAGGACATGTCAGGAGTCAGCAATATACCCAAGTAAAGCATTATTTGTCCGCTGGACGTCATTGCGGGTAACTCAGTCTTAATGACTGATGTTTTGAGCATCACAATACACCAGCCACAGGCAGTCTGACTTTGTATTGTTCCCTTGCAGGCTTTTAGACAAAAGCCCTTTTCAACACTTCTTATTACAATTCTCATTTAAAGTTAAAGGTACCCACCAAAAGGTTAACAGACTCTATAACATCCAGGAACACTTCATTTTTCCTGTATTTTATCCCTTCTGATCTCCATGAAACAGCATTCGTAACTGTGGCAGGTGGACGTGGAGCTCCAGTTTCAAGTTTGTGACCTTCCTGAGTGATGTATCTTGGCATGAAAGAAATGAAAATTAATTTTTTTGATAACTAGACCAAGCCAAAAACATTTGTTTGCGTATGGAAGAATGTTCAAAACCTTCCAAGGAGTTTGTCACTAAGTAATGCAAAATGATACTTACTCTTGTAAAATTTTACTATCAGTGGTTTGTGGATAACCAAAATCCATAAGCTCATCTAACAACTCATAAATAATAACAAAATTATCCCTAATGCTCTCTTCTTCCAATTCCTTGAAATATTCAGAAAAAACCTGAAACAAAATGACAGGAAGGAAGGGAAGAAGGACATTAACGGAGGAAGACTGTATTCTTGCGCATTCAGAATGTATTCTTACATCTAAAATAATAATTCTAAAAAGCCCCAAGCCAAACCTCGTAATTCACAAACAGCATTCTGTTAAGAAGATTAGCCTCAGGAAACCCACCTCAATTAGAAGAGAGCTAAAGAATCCTAGAAGCAACTCTAACTATTATGAAAAATATTTATTTGGGAGAAAATATTTTTCATGCCAGGTACAGATGAACCAAACAGAATCTATATGATATGCCACTACTCATGCATCAAGTTCACAATTCTCCTCTGTGTTCTCAGGTCTTGTGCAACTACTTACAGCATTGGGTCACATCCTTTGCCTACTCAGCTACAAAATATCAATTCCATTATTAGTGGTTAGGAAGATAGTTCTAAAAAATAATCAAATATAAAGTGAAAATGCTATTACCGTAGAGTTCTTTAAACATGTGAAAGCTTTATGCACTTCTATTTAGAGCAGATTTAGATTGAACTGAAAAGAAGACAAAAACTACTTTTGAAATTTCATACTCACCTGAACTACTTTATATAAAAATGAAAACACCAGCGATACACAAGCATTTTTCTTGGAAGTTGCAACAACTGATAAAGGATGTTCAGGAACGTGCATTCAGAGTCATCATTCAAAAAAATGTTTGAGTGCAGTTTTAAAAGCCTTTAGGCGATTAGGGTCGGCCAAAACCCCTAAGATTTAATTAACTAACAATACCTCTGAGTCTAATAAAACATGAAGATAAATATTTGGGAAATAAATTATTAGAGTAAAATTAATGGAAATACTTCTGCACCCTATGCTGCTTGTGCACATTACACTATGTAAAGCTTAAAATTACATTATTTAAAAGAGCCTCCTTATGTCACTTTGCCCATTCTCTAGCTTTACAATTAGACAGAAACAACAACAGTACTACAGCGGCACTTGGCATCTCAGCATACACGAGCTACTGGCAGCATAAAGGATACGATATAGGTTGTTGTGTTTAATCCACATAAATCGAACTCCTCCATGTGCTAGAATAGGAGAAAGGGTCCCTTCTTCTTCCTTTTCCATAAGGATTGGCATAAAATGTTCCACCTCTGACATGTCCACATCTCCACGGTAATTCCGACAGATGAGAACCTATGAAGAGAGGAACAAAATCTTTCCGTTCCGTGAGATGATGTTACCCTGCAAGCCCAACGCATTTGGAAGGCCTCTTTAAGTAACTTTAAAACCAAGCTTCTCTCCAGCCCCTGCACACGCTATAAACGCAAACCACAATGCCAAACCACGTCGCTAATTAGAAAGCAAATCCTTATCTTTCACTAGAAAGTCGAATAATCATCATTTCCAGAGTTATTCTTCCCCTATTGCTGCACACGCCCTAATAATGCTTTTGAAATGGGAAAACATTCAACTCCTCGGAGGCAAATCACCTCCAATTACGGCAGGGGTTAATCACCCCCGGCGGGACCGCAGGGCCCTGCAGCCGCGGCTGCCAGCCCAGCGAGGCCGGGACCCGCCCCCCGCCACCCCGGGGCCACTCCCGACCCCCCCACACACACCGCGGGGCGAGGGAAGGCCCCCCCCGCTGCGGCCCCGCGGAGCCCCCCCGGGCCTCACCTTCCCCTTCAGGTCCAGCACGTAGACGGCGCTGGCCGACATTGCCCCGCCGCCGCCCCGACTTCCGCTTCCGCCCGGCGCTTCCGGGAAGAAGGAACGCCGCGAGACGAGACCCGGCTGCTGCGCGGAGGGATACGCGCCGGGCCCCGCCGCGGTAGCGCGCAAGAACACATTGACGGACTGAGTACCGCTGTTAGATAGTCCCGGGGGGCTTTTTGACCCTTGCTGGTCCCACAACGCTGAAACCGGGACCGGAGCGGGGCTAGGCGCTAACGGCGCCGGGGCGAGGGCCTGCAGCCGGTTTGGCCAGGCTGAGGTGGGAGCCCGGGGCCTCAACTGCTGGCAGCAAAGAGGCAATGTCTGGATTTCAGAATGGTATTTGGGTTTAAGAGGCAGGTTAGGATTTTAAACTTCAAGGCACACATCATCTCTCAAAGGGGTTAAGAATTGTAAAGGCTGGCAAGACAGTTAAAAAACTCCACACACAAGCTGTTTCGTCAGTGCACAAGCCCTGGTTTTATAGGTAAATCAGCACCAAAAAAAGGATAAAAGCAGCGTTTTAATAAGAAATTACATCGAAGTTACAAGTTACAACAGACCCACCAGCTCTGAAAGAACTCTAGATAGGAAAAATCACACAATTCCTATAACTTACAAGAGAAGCTTACTCTATGTGAGACCGTCAAACTCTTCATTTCCGAAACAAAGAACTGTTAGCATCAAAGGAACATTTTCCAGCTGGCTCACTGTGATTGATTTTGGCCTTTCCCTCGCTTTATGCACTAAAAAAAAATAGCCTCTGCACCTCCATAAACCAGAGCTCATCAGCCAAGAAGAGACTTTGTTGAATATTTGGTTTTAAAAAAACAAAACCAAGAAATAAGACAGTAAAGTCATAAATGCTCAGAAGATATATTAAACATTCAATATGGAGAATACACAGATTTACACAGCAACCCTGTTCAATACAAACAAAGTACAACTCCTGATCCAAAGCCTTGAAAAGCGGCCCATTCACTTAGTCCAGCTGACTTTAGGAATGTCGTAATGCTCAGTCAGAGTATCCAAGTGCCTGTTGAAGTCCTAGGGGAGAGAAAGAGCAAGAAAACGTTTAATATTTGGCGCTAACATCCCCACCACTCAACCACAAGCCTCTCTGCCTCTCCACTTCTGTGCTTCACAAAGGTGAAACAGCTCCTCCGGCCCGGCAATCCTGCGTGCTGATAAACACACAGCGGCTTGAGTAAATCGGCATAATTTAGCTTACCTCCACCCTCTGCTTATGGGTTTTAGACGCCTTCTTCAGGATCCTCTCCATTTGCTGGAGGAAGACACAAGAGAGGCCGGTTACTTCCAGCGCTCGCAGCCCCTCAGGGCCGCAACTGAGGGGTCAAATGGGTTTTTTAAATCCCGCCTTGAAGCCCTCAGACGGGGTCTGGCCCAGGCTGGGCAGCCTTACCCGCTTCTCCTGCATCTTCTCGTACGCCACCTGCGCCGGGGTCCGCTTGTCCAGGCCGCGCTTCTTCTCCTCCTCCTGCTTCTTGCTGCTCACGATCTGCTCCAGGATCTGGGCTTTGTCCTTCGCCTTTTTCTTCTTCCTGGGGGCAGAGGGCAGTCAGCGCTCAGCCCGGCTGCCCGCCCCGGTGCGCGTCCGTCCCCCGCCACCCCCGGCTCCCCGCCGCCCCCTCACCGCTTGCCGGCCCCCAGCCCCGCGCCGCCGCCCTTCAGCCGCAGCGGCCCGCGTTGCACGGCCTCGTAGTCCGCCATCTTGGCTCCGCCGCACCGCGGCGCCCCCTGGCGGCGGCGCGGGGCCGTTGCCGCGGCAACGCGGAGGCCGGGGGCGCGGTCCGTGAGGGGAAGCCGCGAGCGGCCGTGAGAGGAAAGTCCCGGGGTCCGCGCGGCTCCAGGAAAAAAACAAAACAAACAAACAAAAAAAACCAGTCCCAACCCTCCCCACACACCATGTTCCACGCCGAAAAGAAGAATTCTCAGTAATTTTGGGTTATTTGAAGGCGCGCCGATGAGTGAGGCTGGCGTTCCTTCTCTGAGGGGAATAGATTCTCCACAGGACAGCGGGGCCCACCCAGCTGGACGGTAGGAATGACCAAGAAATGGAGGTTTTACAACCTGCCTGTGATCAATAAATAAGGCAGCCTGCCATAAGGCTGTAATTGTGCAGTCAGTTCCTCTTTCTACCCTTGTTTTTCATCTTTCATACAGCCTGTAACATCACATTTCTGTTCACATGTATAAACTATATACTGACATGTATTTTCAGTATAAGGACCATATAGGTACCATTATATATTTATCATGGCACACTAATAATAGTTAACTAGCGACAAGGTGTATTAGCAGATAATGCAGAATAAAGGGAGCAAGTGGACTTTATGCATACTACCTCCAGTACAAACTACCATTAGAATTAGTGAGAAGGAAAGGACAAGGGGTTACTAACACTGTTAGCAATTTATAGCATTTGGTGTTAATTCCTAAAGAAGAAAGGCATTGCAAATGCTTTTGAGTTAACTTACCATATCTGGAGGAATGAAAAAATACGATCCATCAAGTCTACCTGCTGCTTCAAAGAGACAAGAAGCTATTAGTCGTTTGGCTAAATACTGTAACATGAGTCTTTGTTGTGCACACAGGAGACAGGTGAGTGATGCTGGATAAGAGCCTTAAGTAGCCGAACTAAAGATTTGATGAAATGCTCCTATTATGATACTTTGCGGCCGGTGGAATAGGGAAGCTGGTTACTTGATCCTCTGCTATACCTGAACCTCATTGTTGTAGCTTTTAATAACTGAACATCCGGACCTCCTATAAAGCTGCCTTTGAGGAAAGAATGATGGGACAAGAATCAGCATTCAGAGCCAGAAATGGGCAACAAGCAAACCATTTTCACTCCAGAGCAACTGGATGCATATCAGGTATAGAACAAACTAAATGGTTGTTTGGACAAAACACTGAATAATCTCAAGAGCTTTTTAAAAAGAATCTATTTTAAGAATTATAAAGCAGGAGTACAAAATTACAGGAAATATTTTAGTAACATAGTTTGATTCTCATCAAGAAGGGCTATAAAATACTCTTTTGCCAAAAAGAATGCTTAGCCACATATATTACGATATATCTTTATTTAAGTCACTGTATGGGAAAAGTTTGGGCCAATGCATTCTAGAAATTGTCATTACATGTTATACTTTTTCTTATTTCATAGGACTGCACATTCTTTACAAGGAAAGAAATTCTGAGGTGAGTCCTGTATATACATTTTGTGGATAAAAGACAGAGAATGCTATAAAGACAGATTATATATATAGAGTGAGGTATTTAAAAAAAAAAAAATTAATTTACTCACATTTAAAGTGATACCTTTGTGCAATCTGAGCATTTTTGTTTCTTTTTTATGTACAAACCCTGTGTTATCTAGCCTAAACTGAGCCAGTATTCTAAATTTTGTATTAAGGTACTAGCCTCTCTCTATTTATCAGAAATAAATGTAAAAAGTTGTATATTAGTGCATACTTTGCCAGTGACATCTACATTCCTCTCCCCTTGTTTTAGGTGCTTCAAATTATACTGTTACACTTTGGAATACTTTGCCTGACTTATAAAAACCTTAACTGTTGTGTCCAATTTTCTTCACGTCTTCTTGTAAATAATTATACTGATACTCTTAAGTGCATTTTTCCCAAAGCCTTCATATGCCTTATTGAACACTCCATTTAATCTCTGGCCAGAGGATCTGATAAAGCCAGGTTCAGTATTCTGTTCATGTGGGATTGAGAGTCTTCACTGAAAACCTGAACTTGTCCTCTTTCAGTAAAAATACTTACCCAGATAGTAACATAAGTTATAAGATTGAAGTTGCATTTGCCATTCCTAACCACTGGGCATACTAACAGAAAGGGAATGTTCAGTTTCTGCATCTCTCAAGGTAGCATCACAAATTACTTGCTAATTTCTCTGAAAGGCAGAACACAAGTGAGAATTTTGTACTCTTTAGACTCTTGATATCTGTGTATGAATTCTATACAGGATAAAATATGAATGGTTCTGTAATAATGGAAATCTAAAACCATCTGCTTTTCAATGTAGTAAATAGAGGCCAGAACCATAACTGTCATTTATTATTGATATGAATCCTTTTAAAAATTCTGTCCTATTGTTTTGTTGATAGTACCTGTGAATGGGAACCTTAGTCTAGCACAAGAACTGAAGCAAATAGCATGCTGAAAAAGTGATGAATACTTTCAAATTATTACACACTTTATCTTGAACCTGAGTTCTATGAAAAAAAAAGGAAGATCCCTGGGGTAGATAAAAACCTGCTAGAATTGGTCCCAGATCTTTCTTTATGCCCATGGCTTTAGGCATTCAGGGTTTTATTCTGAAATTTACACTGAATCTTTCATGCTTCAGTTGAAGCCCATTATTTTTGGTCACATTCATTGTGGACTTAGAAAGTGGACTGCTGCAAGTTTTCCTGTGTTTAGAAAATGATCAGGTGGACCTTGAGGGTGAAGGTCTTGTGCTCCTTTATCATAAACACATAGATGGTGACTACACTATGCCCCTAAGTAGCTAGCAACATACAAGGAAATGTGAAACTCTGTAAAAATTGGGTTTCAGATACACAGTATCTAGCCGTTTGGCCTGCTGACTTGTGTAAGCATTTTCACCTGATTGTTCTGTGAGCATAAAGGCTTTGTATTTTTCGCCAGTTATGCTGTGTTGCTCTTTTTAATACTGTCTCTTCCACCAACAATTACAGAGTATACTAAATGTTATTTAGTGACTGATATCACCCATCTGGTAAAGCATGCAAAGTGTGAAGAATGATACGGAAAAGGCAAACACATCCTTCTCGGGGGTCTAAGTAACTTGTGTCCCAAACAAGCCTTTCTTTCTCTTTCAGACTGTTTTACAGATACCGGGATCTAGCCCCACAGCTAGTTCCACCCGACTACACAGATAAACCCGACGTGACTCTTCCCTATGAACTCATTGGCAGCATGCCAGAGCTGAAGGTACAGAGCGAGGAACACACCTAGAATCAAGTGACATGTTTCAGTTTAATCTACCCTTTTTAAATAATTCATTCAGTACTAATTGCTGAAAGGTTGAAATACAAATACATTTTGGCTATTGAAGTCAAAAGTCTTTCTGGAAGCTTCTAGTCATTCCGTGACAACACCCTGAAATTGCACAAAGGTTAAAGAAGGCTGCAGCTGGGTCTACTTCTGATACAACTTTAGACAGGAACATAATAACAGAAAGTAGAATATTTGCCAAAAAGGGGTTGCAACAAAAATAAGCTTGCTCCAATTGTGTCTTATCTGCGCTGAAATAAATGTTAGTAAAGATGACCTTCTCTTGCTCCCGTGTTCTATTTCCCAGGACAATCCATTCCGCCAGCGCATAGCAGAGGTTTTCTCAGAAAATGGAGACGGCAACATGACTTTAGATAATTTTTTGGATATGTTTTCAGTTCTGAGTGAAATGGCTCCCAGAGACTTGAAAGCTTATTATGCTTTTAAAATTTATGGTGAGTGAGACATGCATAAAAAGTAAATTTTGGGGAAATCCTGCAGCTTCATGTAGGGGTACAAAATACTAATTTTGTCACCATAACAATTTCTAGTTAAGTATGATTTTAACACAGCCTTTCTTTCCATTGCATTTGAATGTCTGGTCTCTCTCCTAGAAACTTCTGGTCTTTATCCTTGTGCCTCTTACTTATTTGAGATTCGGATTTACTACAAAATTTACAACCTGAAATTATCTGCAGTTTTCAAGAGCTGATAAACATTTAGGAAATACTTCTGTCTGAGGGGCTGCTTGGAAAAGTGCAGCACAAGGGATTTGGCTGCCCATAAATCTGTGGGGTGGTTTCAGTAGGGAAGCACACTTCTAGCACTTTTCTACAAGGACAAATTTTGAGACTTTTTTGTTTTGGTTTGTTTTAATGGTGCCATTTTCAGTTACTTTCATGATCAGCTAAAGCCAAACAATATATCAAGGAAACTTCTTTTTTTTTTTTTTTTTCCAATATAAATTGTACCTGATTCGGCAGAGGTGTTAAAAAAAAGTGAACTCCCATCAGAACTGAACAGCCCATTCTCTTCCTTTAACTTCATACTATTTCTTGCCTTTAATTCAGTGGTACTGATTTGCTAGAATGATTTAATTATGGCTAGGCTATATTTAGCCATTAAACTATTTACAATTGTTGCTCTTCTGCATGATATAGAGAAATTATTCCAGGATTTTAATTTTGTTATTGAATTTTTATAAGGCAAATACAGGTAACAATAATTTCTGATATGAAAGTTCTACTCATATAAATACATTGTGATCTGGGAACCAAACCCTTCTTATTAGGTCTTGGCAGTCACCCATACAAAACGCTGACTTTTTTCACTTTCAATTAATTTTGTTTCCTTTGACAGATTTTAACAATGATGATTACATATGCAAATCAGATCTAGAGAAAACAGTTAACAAGTTAACCCGAAATGAACTTACCCCAGAAGAAGTTAGGCTTGCATGTGAAAAGGTGATTTATGAAGCAGATGTGGACAATGATGGCAAGCTGTCTTTGGAAGACTTTCAGCATATGATAATACGAGCTCCAGATTTCCTCAGGTAGTACTTGGTTTTAATTTCCAACACAAGCTGACCCCTAGGTTTTCTGTCAGAAGCCTCAGAAGTGTGTGTTTTACATCTCCTCAGCCATTACAGATCACCACCCTTCCCTGACAGCTTCTAGCAGAGCTGCTGTCTGCAAAGACTAGGAAAACAGATGCTTGGAAAAGGCGTGGAGGCTTCTTGACTTGCTTTTTGAACCTCTGATGTATTTTTTATGTGATAAAAAGTCCTCATAACTTAAAAAGTTAATATTAGCACTTAGGCTCCATTGGTAAGTAGGTGAGATTAGCTCACCACGCGTAATGTAGTCTTAGCAGGGCTTCTGATGCATGTCTTGCACAAAGCAGCACTCCAAATCTTATGTTTATTTGATGTACCTATTCTTCGCAAGTGCTTTGCAAAATAAGTTTCCAATTTATTGTACAGTCATAGGCTTACTTGTAGCAAATCCTCTGAATAGAGAAGAGCGATACATAAGTGATCGTTACTTCCTCTTTTTAATAGCACATTTCACATTCGAATCTGAAACTAGTGAAACGTGCAGAGAGAAGTGCTTCTTGAACCTTTGACAACTATTACTTCACCTGCGACTACTGTCCACGAGAGAGCAAAATGAGAGGAGCAAAAAGGACAATTTCTGGTAACTGAACCAGTCAGAGAACTGTCTCTTCTTTACCTCTTTAAAAGGAACAATTAATTAAGCTCTTCATCAAGATTTGCCTGTAATTTAAGTGTCCATCTCCTTCCCCCCACACCCCAGCAAATCTGGACTAGACAGTGAGATGGGAAATATTTTTTCAAAGTTCAGGTACCACCAGGTAGTAAATAGTCTTAACAAATGGTCCAGTGAATCCATTTGCTATTCTCCCAGTGCGTCACAGAAGCCCATTACAGGTTTCAGAAGAATATAGAGAAGAGCCCTCTCTTTCTGAATTTGTAATGAAAAGTCAGCATAAAGGACAAAAGAGCCTACCCTGGGTTCCTGTCCCTCTTTTCTATTTTTAGAAATACCTTATTTTCCACACAAGAATCTATATGCCCAAATGATGAACAGGACTGACAAACTAATTTTGTAAAATTCTCTTTTCATAAGAAGTTTATTTATGCAGTGCTCAGGGTCCTGTACAACAGAGTAAAAACATACATACTGTAATAAACAACAGTTTTGTTTTTAATATAAACATGAGAATCAATGAGAAGCATTTAAGAAAGCAGTTGTAATGTGGGAAGGGTGGCAGCCAGAAGTGGTCATTCTAAAAACACAATTTACAGTTATTTTAAAAAATATTGGGATGCATTAAGTTCCCTTCAAAACAAAGTTGTAAGTCCCAACTCACGCTCAACGCAGAGCATATGATTCCTGCAGAAAGGCTAGAGCCCAGCCCACTAAACCTGTATTACCTACAGAAACAAAAACTCCAATGGTCAGTGAGAGATGGGTCAAAGAATAAGGCAGCCTCAAATAATCAGACTGCACGTTACCATTAATGTTCAATTGAACAGATCTTTACTTAGTCTATAAATGAAGACAGAAGTTAGTCATCATTCTTTCCCAAGCCCTATGAACTTCCATTACAGAGACCATCCTCTGCGTGGCTGTTTGCCCATTTCCTCTCCAGCACAAACACCAGCCATTTCAAGTCCAAGAGAACAAGAAATCACGGCAGCTTTTGAGCATGATCATCAGCCAAAGACACTGCCACCACCACAACAAAACTCTGAACAATTATCAGCGAGAGGATTAGCATCTCACGTGAGAGACCAAATAATTTTCAGCAGCATTAAAGAGACTTACAATAATCCATAGGATTTATAAATCTGAGGCTGAAAGTCTGATGCTGGCATAAGGCTCTGATGTCAAGGAACATTAGATGTGCCCATCAGCACAGGACCTAGATAACGTGTTAAAATGGCAAAGTGTTTAAACACCAGTTCCACCATTTACTGACAGATGAGCTACTGAGGTCCACACCTGACGGGGTGAAGACTATCTGAAATATTGCAACCAGCCTCAAAAATAAGGTCACCCACAGAATTTTATGATACTTGTTAAAATAAGGGAATTTGAGAACATGCTCAACAATGGGTTTGGTTCTCTACAAACCAAGTGTTAATCAATGACCTGAAATTTTAGTGGCATTTAGACACCAAGAATGTGTAGTAAGCACAATTTTTCAGATCTACTTAAATTCCCCAGTTTTACAAATTTTGTATCCAATTTCAGACTTTTTCCTTAGTTAATGAAAGCTTAGCTATAAATACATTACTGTATGTATTTATCCCAGTACCTCTTTTGATCACTGTGTTTTCCATAACATTCATACTTAAAACCCACAGTAATTTAATTATGAGATGGAAACATCAACTACATATTGTACTTCTCCAAGATCTAATGTCCCTATTTAGCGACACACAGCCAAGCATACGTGCAACTGCAGTGTCTTTAACCTTTTCCCATCTTGCATTTGCATTTTAGGTTTCATATTGCTTACACTGATTTAATTTCTGTGTAGAGTCTGTACACCCTAGAAGTACAGTGATGACTGTAGTCACAGTAACTATATGAAACTTCCTGAGATTGGGCAATAATGTAGTTGTTCATTGAGTAAAACCAATCATTTGGTAAAAGGAAATCATGCTATAAATTAGGTACATAAACATGTGCAACAACCAACATAACTTTAAACAACAGATATTCACATAGAGTTACCTTTAAATGCAAAAGAGTAACTTAAGATTTTGAAAATGACTAGCAAAGAAAATATATCACACTTCCATCCTTCAAGTTTTCTCCCCATGTAAATTAATATGGTATCCTTTCTCATCTCAAGATGAGTTACTGATTTAGATGCTGTCGACGGGCAACACCCAGCCTCATGCTGGACAGCCCGTAAGACCAAGTCAGACTAATCACTTCTTTTTCCAGTCACTTTGAAAAATGTCTGACTGTGACATCTGGCTACACGGAAGTAGGAGGATGGATGTGAGAAATGCACATTTTCTACTAAGCCAGAAACAAATCATTAAACAGATCAGTTTTGTGTAGGAAAACAACAGTCAGACCATGACTTAATCACCTCCCCAATTCTGCCTCAATAATTCCTTGAAGCACACACAAAGTCTTTCTTTAAAAGCATCCTTATCTCAGATAGAAGCGTTGCTTGTCCCATCCATAGCTCTGTTAACTACGCTTGGAAGCATACACATACAGACTAGAAGGCTCTTCAGTAGCTGAACATGATTTTATCCTACAAATACATCCACACGTAATCCACTACGGTGCATGTTCTCCAAGTCCTTATGCTAAAAAGCCACAAGTAAACAAAAACACCCCACCAGAAGGTTCTGGTCAGAGGAAAGTTTTACATATGATTTTAATCATGAACAGAGCTCATTGTAATCTGCTAGCTATTTAAAAAAAAAAAAAAAAAAGTTAGTAGCATATAAAATGCATTTTTATAAACTAGTAACTTACACAGTAAAATTTCCTTTTTCCAATTTAGAAAAACAGGCAATATTCCTGTTGAGCCCAATTGCACGCTGCAGATGTATAAAGTTTAATTATGAATCTGATAGATCTTTAACTACAGTAACACTTGTAAGTGCTACTTTGAGGCCAAAATATAATACCACAATCTTGAAGAAAACAAAACTGGTGAGTAAATTCATTAACTTTAAAATCAGCTTTAATTTTACCCTTAAGTGCAGTTGTCAATGTAAACAAAGCATGTTAACAATTCCAGTGAGTTGCAGGACACAGCTGATGTGTTCATTTGAATTAAATACACCATAATTCCAAGCACTTGACAGCAGACTCTGAAGTAGCTGGCTCTTACTGGCTCCTTTTGTCAGACTAATTAAGAGTCAGGCTTACAGCCTCCAAACTGAGAGCAATTAGCTACATAGGAGCTCTACTTGGCTGTTACATTTTATACATCGGAATGTAATAGACTGTGTTTATAGGAATAAACACACAGAATATTTCCACTGAGGACTAAACATCATTTGCATTGATGCATGCTATTAACAGGCTTGTTGCTGCTTGAAATCTGAAATGATCAATAGAGCAGCAAGGTGAATCTCAGTTTAAAAAAAGTTTGTTTTCAGAAAGTGTTCATATGTGCAACATTTATTTGCATATGTGAGCAAGTGTGCATGAGAACACACAACTGGAAGCAGTGCAATACGTTTTCTTGTCACCATTTCAAACTAGCTACATCATGATGGATCTGAAGTCATTTTCAACTGGAGAAGAAAAAGCCAACCATCATAATGTTACAAATTTTGAGTAAGTGTCCCTTCCTGAACCACAGTCTGCTTCTCTAAGAACAGACGACAGATCATCCGGACTCACTGTCACCATCATCTCCTGTTGAACACGTCTAAATGTCTGGAGCACTTAATTAAGCGCTGTCAAGTCTAAGATGGATAAAGTAATTCCTGATGGTAAGGATCCATTATATTTACAGCACACTTTGGTTTTTTAAAAAAATAGAGATTCCTTTGAGGAGGATTTTATCTTTTTTTTTTTAAAAAAAAACTTCAATTGTACTTGTGGATTGTCTAGAATAACGCAACGGAATAAGTAACAGGCAGATAAAGGATTTTCTCTGTAGTAGCAAAGAGATGGAGATGCAGAAAGCTTCCTTCTACCTTCTGAAAAGGTGTAAGCCTGTACTGCTTACATAAGTGCATTTATTTGATGTTTTGATGCAACTGTTCTATATGCATCTATAGACATGGATATGCACATGAATCATGTACACATACCTGTACTTTATTAACATTGGCATTTCAGTTTCTTATTTTGATCATAACTTAATCTTTCTGATTTGGATACATTACAGATATGAAAAAAAAGATTGACGCCTGTCAGCAAAGGTGCTATATCACAGGTCACATCTGATCTGTACTTCCTCTGCTAGACAATACACATGCCCAGTGGCAATCTGACAAAAATAAACTTGTTTCATCTCCAAAATTGAAGAGTCAGACAATTCTAAAATAAACAATTTCTTATTCAGATGGTCACAAAGTGACAAGGTATGTTGAAAATGCTAAGTCCACAGACAGAGGAAATCTCACTCAGAACAGGCACAGTCCAGTCGGGTTGAGCAGATGCTCAGCTTAAGGCCGTGTCCCTCACAGAAGAACACATCGGAAAAAGCTGCTTTTCTTTTGCTGGTCTGGTGTGATTTTGACTCCCTGGTTGCTGCCTTGTGGGCTATTGCCTTCCTGAAGACGCAAAGAATATTAAGTTACTTATACTTATCCGTACTTCATCTATTCCCTTTGTTGAATCAAGCCTGCCATACACAAAACCTGTTACTAAAAGCAACGAGGGTCTCCACTCGTTTATCCAAGCCTCACACCGGCCACTACAAGTCAGAGAACTGCATCTGCTGCTTTTGGCTTCGACTAACTTGCACTGCGCCTCTTCTTCTTTCTATAAACTCAAAGACAGCTGAGATTAAAAAAAAAAAATAATTACTGGACATGCTTGGCTCTTGCTGAAACTCTTAGGAATTGTCAGCAAGACCCAAAATACCCGAGCTCTACCAGCACGTCTGGTCACGTGAAGGTGGAATGTTCAGTAAAAGCAGAAGGAATGTTTGTCAGCTTTGTTTTGTGTGGAACAAACTGACACTGATAGATGTTTATTTGTTGTACAAAAGATAACTCAGTCATTTCTCAGGTCGCTTTCACAAAAGTTATAAAAAAATTAGTTCTTTACCTATTTTTAAACATACTAGCTTGAGAACTACCCTGCAGTATGAAGTGGGCCTCCTTTATGTCCAATTTACGATTCTGGTTTTCAGACTGCAAGAGCAAGAAATACCATTAAACTGCTCTACCACTCACTTGACATTCAATAAAACAAATAAAAGATAATTTTATTTAGAAAACCTCAACCATCGCAGCTAGTTCCTGAAACGCAGACAACTGTTTATAAGCCTAAAGTCAGAGCGTAGCTTGACAAAACTAAAAATTAATTTCTATAATCCCCATGAAAGAGACTACGAAATATTTTTTATACAGTTGTTATTTGGTTTTTGGGTTTTTTTTTTTTGTTGTTTGTTTTTGTTTGTTTTTTTCCTCTTATTTAAATACAGTGTGGATGAAATGAAGGTTACTCACCAACTTCTTGTCCATTTTTGCTTTGATATCTCTTGCAAGAGTGAAAAATGCCTGTGACAAGTAAAACAGATAAAATACCTTCTCACATTTTTGTTTAGCAATAAAAGCTGCCTTCCCAAGTTTCTACATATATTGAACTCCTGAAGAATGTCAAGTTTTCAGGTTCCCCCCCAACCCCCCAGGTTTTACGGCTCCTTTTCCAACTCCCCTGCTTCCCGTCTGAGCCTGGAAACCACCCACGGGAGGGCACAGCTGGGGATCAGAGCGGGAAAACGCCACCCTTTATCAATCCCGTTATTGAGTGCAAAGGCATAAGTGGAGTTTCTCAGCTCTAACACCCTTGTGCTATGCTCTAAGCACCACATTCAATTTAAATAAATTTGCGTAATGCCGGTTAGACAACACCTTCACAGAACGCCCAGATGTGGGCTTACTAACTCACGTGCAGTACTGAACAACTGATTTTCACACCCAGCTGGGATGGGAAGTGTTCCCACTGCTTGTTTGCACAAATAAGACCGTAAATTCAAGCAAAAGGTTACAGTACTCACATTCTCTATGTTTATATTTGCTTTTGCACTGGTCTCCATAAATTTAATTCCAAAACTTGCAGCAAGCTAAACAGAAGCAGGTTTCACGTTAGTTGGATAATTGCAGGAACAGGTCTAAATACATATAAATAAATATAAATAAATACCAACGGTGCAGGATCTGCCCCTCTGACGTGATTCACAGCAACTTGGGGATTTACTCAAGCAGAACAATTTTCAGAAATCAGGAACTAAATCTCATTCCTATTAGCATCTACTCGTGCTGGGGTTTGCTCTTCTGCTTTATACTCTGCACACATTTTCATCTGCTCCTTTGCCTTTTATTTTTCTTGCATAGATATCTTGTCAGTCTTGCAACATGTCACGCGCAGAAGCGCTGTCTCTACCTTGGCTGAGTAAGATCTAACGCCAAAAAGACAATCCTGTCTACCTCGTCTCAGTGGCTTTCAGCCAAAGACACATTTCCTCAGTGTCAAACTCCACATGCTTTTTCTTCTTCTTGCTAAGAAAAAAAGTCCAGCTCGCTGCTCTGCACCTGACAGGTCTTGACCAGGTCATCGACAAGAATTCTTAACACAGACTCAACTTTTTATCAGAGTGGGGAAACGTACCGCAAATACAGCTCGGGAAACGTTCCACAGCCCCGCTCAGAGATGCCACCAAAGCAGCACACAGACAGTGACAAATGCAATTTTTATACTCTAGAAAGTCTTAAGTTGAAATACATTAAAGCCACAGCACTTACCTTCTCCCCTTGCTCTCTGGAAACTTGTCTTTTGTCATTTGCGTCACATTTGTTCCCAAGGATCATTTTTTCAACATCTGGAGAGGCGTGCTGAGACAGAAACAGAGCAAAGGCTTTGGCTTGTTTTTTGGTGGATAAATATTGTCAAAAAGACAAGTACTTAAAACGAAGTACACCAAGTACTTAAGCGGAAGATGCTGGTGCTAAGCATCTTCTGCAGATCTACAGGCTCCCCCAGCCCAGCGTGTGCTGCACGACGAGAGCTCTCTGACCGCTTGTGGTGGCAGAACATCAACTTTTCGGTGCCCTCGTCCCGAGCCGGGCTGCAGCCCCGCCGCCGGCCCTCGCGTGTCAGCACAACGGGCCCCTGCTGCCAAGACGGGCCCGGAGGGGTGACTGACTTTCATTCCATTTATTCTCCAAGCACCCTTCAGCACATGAATTCAAAAGAAACTGAAGACTTCTGAAGCGATTCAGTTTCAACTGCTTTTGGAGGAAGAAACAGCATCTGTAACATTCAGTAAGTAAATAGAGAAATTACCTCTTCGATATTCCTGACCCAGTTCCGAATATTTTCAAAAGATTTTTCATTGGTGATGTCGTAGACTAACATAATGCCCTGAAGATTAAGAAGGAGAGAGACTGTTTCAGCTAGTGCCAGTTTAAGCAGGAGTTAAAAGACTTATCTGTAGCAGAAAGCAGCAACTTAACCAAGTCTATTTTTCAAACAGCTGGTTCAGCTCCACGTAACATTTATGGGCAGTTTGGGCTTTGCTGGGCAAGGTGTGTGTGCAGGGTGTGTGTTCTGGGAGCGGGTCACGGAGCGGAGCTGCCTCTGGGAGCTCCCACGCTGCCCCAGCACAGCTCAGAACAGGGCCGAGCGCTGCTGTAAATATTTAGCGAGGCAGGGTTTACGTGTTGGCAGACAATTGTGCGCGTTCCACGTTAAACCCAGCTGATCTGAGCGTGGAAGCTGAGCCGCCTGGTTTCGGTTTAGCCCGGCCCGCAGCGCTCCTACCATTGCTCCCCTGTAGTAGGCGGTTGTGATGGTTCGAAATCGCTCCTGCCCGGCAGTGTCCCTGGAACAGAGAGAACACGGGGGCTCACGCAAACCGCCTACGCCACCACGCTTGTGTCAAAGCCACCAGAAGTTTTAATTAAATATCGTTGAACCAGTCTTTAGACACACTAAAACGAGTTAGTCTTAGTTTCTAAGACACCGCACACTGCTGAAGGGCACAACTGGAATAAAAACTTAACACCGACATCACCACCCCACACTGCCCCAACACCCGGCTAACAGGCGTTAACTTCAGAAGAAAAAGCCTTACCATATCTGTAGCTTAATTCTCTTGCCATCTAGCTCTATAGTTCTAATTTTAAAATCAATACCTGAAAAGAGAAGCAACCAAATTACTCGGAGTTTCTGCCGAGGACCAAAGTCCCACTTTCCCTTCCAGTGTGAGCGCTCAGGAGCGCGAGCGGAGCGCCCTCCCCCTCAGCCAGCGGAGGGGCCGGCGGCTCCGCAAAGGCAGCGGCCGCGGCCCCGGCCCGAACCGCGGTCACGGCCTCTGGCGAGCGGCGGCGGCCGCAGCGCGCCGAGGCCGGGGCCGGGCTGTTCGCCCCCCGCCAACCGGGCACCGAGCCTCGGCAGCCGCTGAGCTCCCCGCGGTGGCCGCGACCCGACCCCTCGGGGGGGGACGAGCCGCCTCCGGGGCCCGGAGCCGCCGCCCGGCGCCAGGCGGGACCCCGGGGCCGGGGCGCAGCGGCCGCGCGGGGCCCTCACCGATAGTGGAGATGAAGGTGGCGTTGAAGGCGTCCTCGGAGAAGCGGAAGAGCGCGCAGGTCTTCCCCACGCCCGAGTCGCCGATGAGCAGCAGCTTGAAGAGATAATCGTACGTCTTCGCCATGTTCGCGGGCACCGCCCCTCCGGCCCCGCCCGCCCCCCGCGCCGCCTGACGGGCCGCGCCCGCCGCCCATCACCGCCCGCCGCGCGCTTATTGGCTGATCCCGGCAGGAAGGGCGGGGAGGCGGCGCTCAATTGGCGGGCGGCTTGCGCCCGCTGTGGAAGCAGCGGCGCGATTGGCAGGCGGCCCCGCGGCCGTTGCGTCACTTCCTGCTGCGGGCGGAAGGCGCGTGCGGTTGAAGAGCGACGTCACGGCTTTACCCGCCCGCAGCTTGACGTGGCGTGCTGGTCCGTGACGTCACCCGATTAAAAAAAAAAAACCAAACAAAAAAACCACAACAAAACACAACAAAAAACCCCGGAGACGACTTCGGTACTGTGAGAAACCGTTTAATATGAAACGTCACTAAGAGGGTGACACTAGTGCGGGGGTACAGCTGCTACCGGGGTTTAGATAAAAACGACTACTCAGCCGCGAGGAGAAGCTACAGCCGCGCATCCAGAACCCGCGGGAAGGGAAAAGCCGGGCGGCCCCCACAGCCCCAGGCACGGCTCACGCCCCCCATGGAGGGACCCGAAGCCCTCAGGGCGTCTGCTCTGTTCATAACTTAACTGGTTTTATCCAGGATACGAAAGAGAGAGAGAGAGAGAGAGAGAGAGAGAGAAACGACACAGTAAATGCAGAGACGGGTCTCAGGTCTGTTGGCCGCTGGGAGTTCTTTGCCATTTCATATACAGTTCAGTTCGTTTAGTGTCTGGTCCAGTGTCTGATGTAACCCCAAGTTCTCTTCTTTTGCTTGAGCAAGTTTTTCTAGGGAGAAAGAAAAAAAAAACCCACCAAGACTTAAACCACATTATTTTACAGCCTTTTTTCTTGAAATAAAAACCATGATTACTTACCTTTACATTCAAAAGAACACTAGAACCACATCCACAAAACGGGGCCAATGTTTTTGGTAATTGCTCGCATTCAGTGCGGTTTTTGGATGCATCTTACGTGACACGTGACAGACTTGTGTCACGATTTATCAGACACATCCTTTGGAGTTTTCCTCGTCCCAAGGGTTTAACCAGGCAGGTGGAGCACCACAAGCACACACCAAAAGCACTCGGAGCTTTTCGCTGCCGCACGTGCCCTCGGCAACACCAAAACTCCGGCGTTTGCCAGCGCGCCGGGTCCTGCCCCGGCTGCCGGGGCCACCCCTGCTGACTGCACCTGCCTGCCCCTGGCGTCAGGAGCTGGCCGTGTTTTCAGTGTCATCACTAGTGGATTTTACGTGAAGCATAAGGAAATAAACCCCAAAAGCTGAAAGGTAGAGGTATCTTGTTTTTATTGAGCTCAGCTCTTACAGAGGAGATCGAAGGCTCGCTTGTGGGAGTTGCACAGAAGCGACAGGTATGACAGGCCAGAAAAGCGTAAGAAATGTAGCGAGTGAGAGCGGCCCCGGCCCCCCTGGTGCAGATCACAAAGAGGTCATGTCATTGAGAGCATGGTCAAGCTCCTCACTGATCGCTTTGTACTTCAGCTTCTGAGCGTACAGCTCGTCTATCGGTCCCGAGGGCGGAAGGCACGTTTCAGCAAGAAATGCAGAAAAACAGTCCAGAGAAGAGGCGCAGAGAAGGAGACACGGAGACAATCAGAAGGCAGCAGCCAAAGCAGTTGGGGAGGAAAGAAGAGAAGAAAACAGATGCGTAATTGAGTATTGGTATGAAAGCCAAAAATCCACACAGGTGCCACATCAGAAGCTTCATCTACATTTCCTTTCTTTTAACCTCACTGAATTATTTTTCAGTGATCGGATTAAGTGGGGCTCTGAGTCCGTGTATCTGTGAGTGGCCCAGATCGGGTTATTGTTACCAACTTTTGGAGACAGAACCTCTCCCAGGAGAGCTCCCCCCAGCCAGGAGGCACCGCGCGGGACACACCTGTCCAGGGGACGCATCGCGTCGGTCTGTCAGGATGCCTGGCGAGCACGTCTGTCCTTTCCCAATAAATCTAATACCCGCTCCTAGAATTTTGGTTTCTGATTTGAATTTGACAACTTTTAAATGAAACTCGGGTAATTTCATACCTTCCAGGTCATCAATAGACTTTTCCAGTTTGGCAACTGTTCTCTCCGCAAATTCAGCACGAGTTTCAGCCTAAAAAAAATTAAGTAGATTAATTAGATGCTGTTAAAAAAATTATGCCAAAATACAGTTTGGGCATGAATAAACTTACTTCTTTAAGCTTGTCAGAGAGAATCTTGATTTCTTCTTCGTATTTATCTTCTTTTTCCGAGTACTGTGAAAGCAATAAACACTCTTTAAGGGAAATTGTAGCAATAACAATAAATGTTTATGAAACCGTGACCTATTTATAACCACTTTTCCTTTTACAGCAGCTGCAAACACCCTTTCCATACTCCTCTTCACCAAGACACATTACCAGGCTTACCTTCCTGTGCGGCACAGAAACAGCTGAGCGCACAAGAGAACGGGATGCCTTTCATACTAGACTAGCCAGAAACAACTCTTTAATGAAATCAAGAGTTTCAACCATTTTAATTATTAAGAGGGCAAAACCCACAAAAAGAGCAACATGAGAAAATGGAAAGCAGTCAGCAGGTGTGGGAAACGGAGCTTCGGGTCCTGGCTTGAAGCAGTGCTGCAGGTAATTTTGATTACTGACTTGAGTTTGGGCAGAACTGATTCAGTGTTACCAACAGACTGTGACACTCTGCTAAACTCTTTCACTTTCTTTGTACTTCTAGATTATGAATTTTATTTACAAGTTTTGACTTTGCCCCTATCCCTTAGTTTATTGAAAGAACCAACCTTTTCAGATTGAGCTTCCAAAGACTTCAGGTTGTTAGTCACATTCTTTAACTCCTCTTCAAGGTCACTACATTTACTATAGGAAAAAGAAAATTATAAATTACTAATGTCCCTGTTGTGACTTCATTTAATTTTCAAGAAGGCTAAAAATACAAGGTATAAAATAATTATAAGTCTAAAAGGAGAAAACTGGACATATAGGGTGCAAAAATGCTTTTCTACACACATACAGATTTTTCTAATAAAATACAGCTTTGACCTTACTGTATTCTGAACCGCTTCCATGTATATGAAGTTACTCACACTTCAGACACCTCTGCGCGCTCTTCAGCTCTTTCCAGTTCACCCTCCAAAATAACCAGTTTACGGGCAACCTATAAAGAGAAAATAGCTTTATCAAGCCAGTCTGTGATTTCTTACACATTTCTCTCAGAGCGTTACGCTTGTGCTTTCCTTCTGAATGATGGAGTTAGATTAAAACGTACATGCATAGACATGACAGACTTATTCCCCAAGTAAGTTAGATTTTGCAGTGGTTTTAGCATTAAGTATCTAAGACGCTACAAAGTCACTGTTAAAATTACTCCTTTTTGGGAACGTTCCAAAGTCAAGCCATCACACAGCAAAAGCCTACAAAGAATGACTAAACAAGAATAACAAAGTTGTTCACAGTTCTCCTGTATGTTTAATAATTTCCTTGTCCCTTTTACCTCTTCATATTTGCGGTCAGCTTCTTCAGCAATATGCTTAGCCTCCTTCAGTTGCATTTCCTGAATTTCCATTTTCTCTTCATCTTTCATTGCTCTGTTCTCGATAACCTTCATTCCTCTGCAGAAGTCAAAGCAAGTGTGTTTAATGTAGAAGCACTTTTATCTCAAAGGTCCTAAAGTGGAATTCAGTATTTGTAACCAAAAAGTGGCCCGCTGTGACCATGCTATCATGTTCTTCAAGGCTAACAGAATTACTTGAGCGTATAAAAAAGTACCAAGTCTCCGACCTGCAATCCACATTAGCACATGAAGATATATATATATTCAATTTTTTTTATGAAGAAAAAAAAAAAGGAAACACACCTCTCGCTCTCATCCGCTGCTTTCTCTGCCTCCTCCAGTTTCTGCAAGGCTGTGGCCAGCCGCTCTTGGGCACGATCCAACTCCTCTTCCACTAGCTGGATGCGTCTGTTCAGAGCTGCCACTTCACCTTCAGCCTGTGTGAGATACAACCCCCCAAAACTGAGTTTATGTACAAGCCACTTGCTGGCTGACAAATGTTCTCAACTAATCAGTTTTCCTTAAAACTGCAAAAGCTTCTCCTTGGTATATGCAGGGAAGCTCTAGGAACCTTCCTGTCTCTGCTTTTTGTTTGTTTAAACTGTGGAATCTCAGGAATTTCAAGGTATCAAGAATGTGCTTCTCCTTTCTTTTTCAATAGTACTTATCATTCCTGCCATACAACAAAGGATTTGACACCGATTGCCAGGGGAGAACTATTTTCAGACCACAGGGCTGGATCTACGCATTGAATTGAAAAGTTCAAACCTGAACTGCTTCCACAATGGCTTGTTCCAAAAACTTCACAGTGGATTTCTCTTGGTTTCATCACAGATTGCAGCAATATCCTGTCACAGCACACTGCTGAAGTTAAAGCCATTTCATTACCCATTATGGGCTCCTGAGCCTGCATATGCTGTATAATCTTTACGCGGTCGCTGGGCAGACACAGTTGGCCTCAGCCTGGAAGAGTCGGTCTTTGGAACATAAATAGGGCAAAATTAGGTATGTTCTTAAACGAAGTTCACTCTCCTTTTTCATTGCTTTCTGTGGTACTTAAGAAATTAGGCAGAAAGCATTTCTTAATAATAAGGTCTGTTTATTACTGAATAAACTGGACAGTAATTGGAAACACTATTAACCTTTAAAAAACAGACTAGCTAATAAATGGAGAGGTTGGTGGGAGAAATGTTTGCGTACAGACAATATGAAACAATTGGTGTCCATAAATACATTGTGTTTACTAAGATACGGCTCCTTTAATTGATTGTTATTTGAAGGAAAATAAACCCCTACTTCAATAACTGCCAGGTTTGCACACTCAGTTATCCCCAAATCTGAGCATGATTGCAAAGCATATTTTTTTTTTTCCCTAAAAAAACTTTTACAGGCTATAGATGCTGGAAGGGCAATTGTTTTATGCTTTATGGTAAACACTTTGAAAAAAATGCTTGTTTTGCTGCAGCTTCGCAAATTTGGTTACTGACCGCCTCTCCTAGGCTAGAGGAAGTGGTTTCCATTCATAGCTGTACCATCTTGGAAAGGATTCCAGTGACTGATCCAAATGGAAGCTGACCCAGGATTCCTCTAGTCATAAATTATCCAGCATTTCATTTGTTTTCTCCCCAGTGCTATGTGTTTAACTTTCTCAGTTTACACACAAAAGCATCGATCATGTAGGAAACTGGCATCTGTTATGTGGCAGCCTGCAACTCCTTCCACTACACAGGACACTTTTAAGTCATATTTTAATTAAGCAAGATTCCAAAGCTATGGAGACGGGGCCACTGGGAAGCTGGAGTTAGTCTGGCTCCACCTCTCCCAGAAGCAGCCCGCAGTCCTTATACGGTAAAACTAACTCGCTGACATGTGATAAAATAGCAGGAAGATGCCGGGAAGGCTGATCACACACAAATCTAAGTGAAACCAGCTGTCCGGCCTCGGGAGAGCCGCACATTAGTGGGGAGTTCTCGTTTCTCTGTGAAAACCAGGAGGGAAAGTTATTTTCCAGCAGTTCGGACATTTCCCAGCTGTGCTGGAGCCAGCGGTGCGGCGCCGAGAGGCGGGAACTCCCCGCTCGTTGTCATGCAGCGCTTTTTCCCAATTAAACGGCCATTTCCTACTAAACTCGCAACCGCTTCCCGATGCCGAGCGGTGGTCGCAACGCCGTTTCCGAAGGGAACGGCCCCAAAGCGCGATAAGCAGCGGGAAGGAGCCGCCGCCGTGCCCGGCGCCCCCGGAGGCCGGAGCGAGCGAAGCGCTGCGGCAGCGCCAGCGGTTTCCGCAGGGAGTTTGCGGAGCGGAGCGGAGCAGCAAGGGGGGCAGCTGAGGAATGAAGGCAGCCGGCGGCCGAGCCGTCCTCCCGGAGCAGGGAGAGCCAGGCACGCCCCAGCGAGAGAGAGCCAGAGACAGGAAGGAAGGAGCAGGGCAGCCCGGGAGAGAGCGACCGAGAGAGGCGAGCAGGCAGCCCGGGCGGTCTCACTTTCTCCCGCAGGTCCCGTTCCAGGTCCAGCTCCCGCTGGAGAACCTGGGCGCGATCCTCCGCCTCATCCGCCTGTTGCTGCAGGCACTGGATCTTCCTCTTCACCGCTTCCAGGGAGCTCGGCGCGGCCATGGGCGCGGCGCGGCGCGGGCGGCGGGCAGGGCGCGGAGGTGCTGCACGTGGCGGCGCGCGGCCCCGCGCCTTTCAATGGGCCGATGACGTCACGCTGGCTGGAGGTGGGGGGGTGGTGACGTAGCACTGAGGAGTCGGCGCAAGCAGCGCCGGGACAGTGGCGGCCCGCCCGTTCCCTCGCAGCGTCCCGCGGGGCTCCTCGGGGCACCCCCCCTTGGGTGGGGTCCCGCGAACCCCCCGGTGGGTCCGTGCCGCCTTTGGGCCCACGCAGACACGAGCGATGCTGAAGCGAACCCTTCTGGCGGCAGAAGGAAGGGGAGCCGGGCCTGGCCGGGAAGCCGAACCGCATCCGTACGCTGCAGCAGAGCCCGGCTGCAGTCCCAGCTGCCCTGAAAGGTCACCCTTGTGTTTACTTCGATTAAAGGAAATTTCGCCTTTCCGAAAGAATTCCCGCCCACAAACGCTTCCCCCCGCGCCAGAAAGGGGCGCAGTGCTCCGAACCCCGCGGGGGGCAGCTGCCTGTGCCGCACACGGGGTGCGCAACAGCCACCCCAGCTCATTTTGGATGGGCAGGCAGGAGACGTACGTACCTGCATGGTAACACTGTCTTTCCTATATCCCGATCAAAATGCTGCGATACAAAAATCCTCAGTGATTCTTACAACCAATATACTACACACAAACTCCAAACCACTGAGAGCACAGTTACAGGCAAACATTAGCAGTTGGTACGTACATCAGTGGCCTTCTTTTCAGCCTGCTCTAGTTTTTCCTGGGCATCTTTGAGAGCCTCCGAGTACTTATCCAGCTCATCTTCAGTTCCTTTCAACTTTTTCTGCAGAGCTACCAGCTCATCTTCTACCTTTCAAGAGAGAAAAAAAAAAAACAACAAACAAACAAACACAAAGTGAGCATTCTGATGTATTATCAGTTACAGTTTAATATGGCTAAGACCTCTCTTTACTAGTAGTTTTATCCTAACATAACATACAAAGAGTCACAAAAGACCAGATTAAAGTTCTGTTGGGTTAAGTGTTCCCAGACTGACTGGTAACAGTTGCCAGCGAAAGATCATTAAAAACCTGTCACTTAGCACAACATTCCCTGACATTGTGCACACAGGATTCCATTTAATACATAACTTACAAGCCCTTTTTCTCCTCATTTCTGTTTTGGACTGTACAACACCCTGCAGCAGCTAATTCTACAGCATAATTATAAATGTTTTAAAATTATGTCCTCTTGTTTGTTCTACCACTATTACCTGATGATTTCTTAGGAAACTATTCAATTCCTGTATAGCTAGAAAAAACGAGCGGTTGTTTCCTAATCATCTTTTGACATTGTTCAAGACACTTCAAGCCAAACATGATGTTCTGGGAGCAGGAGGAAACAGGTCTGGCCTGTGACAGATCCTGCTGGAAACAGGAGTGGGACTCGATGACCTCTGGAGGTCCCTCCCAACCTGAATTACTCCCTGACTGACTGCAGGCCAACAGGGTCTGCTCCATCCTAGCACGAGGTTCAGCCTCTCTCCTCCATACCATATATATCCATATTGTACGCTAGAATGGTACTATTTATAACCTGCTGGGAGACTGTTTAATGACAAACTGTCTCATGCTCCCTGAAGAATTTACATTATCAGGAAGCTTGCTGATAAGGGTTCCACTGCAAACCCATCTGCTCCATCATTTCATTTGCAATACAAACCAGTTCAGTTTGTGGAGAAATGGATTTAACCGTTTAGCTCTGCCTTCACATAATTTTAGTCTATCAAAATATTTTACTCAAAATAGTTTGTGTTTTTGTGCACTGACTTGCTGCATTCTAGCTTCAGAGACAGCTTTGATGACATTTTTGGTAGCATGCCATTCTTGAACATTGTTGTGTTGCTTTTACTCAGAGTAACCAGATAGTGAGAACTGTGTATGCTTGCTTGGATGCTTTAACGGAGGGACAGCAAGTGGGATGAAGGAGGTGATGCTTACTTTGTGTATGACATTAAAATCACTACTTGAGTACTGTGCTCACATTAGAAAAAAAAAAAAAAAAAAAACAAAAAGCTGAAAAAATTGAGACAATTCAGAAAAGAGGAGTAACATCAAAGATTTATTTTCCTCTTTTAGCTTTTTATTATGTATTACCCTCATATAGATACTTGAAAATTACCACAAGTGTGTCATTCATCAGTCTGTAGAAAATCGCCTTTGATAACTAAATGTAAAGGAAGCCTAAGCATTCAATCACCATTAACCGCTTTGAATAACAACCTGCTGTGGCTCTTACAGAGAGCAGAAAGATTAGCTGGGGAAACTGTGGCCCAGCAGAACAACATCTTATCAACACCTCTGAAGCCAGGAAAGAAACAGCGACTATGAACACTGGGCACTGTGTGCAGCTCGAAGTTTACTGTAATGACGCAGCAGAGACAAGTAGTTTTCCTTATGGTGTGGGGTGGAACAGGAAGACAGCAGCAGCTGAAACTTTTGGAAACATTTTTCCTGTTAACTAAATGGATGATTAGTTGAAAGTTTAGTTACATCATCCAGGATCTCAAACTGAACTTGAACATAAGAAATATTTGGCCAAATGAATATTAACATATTATAGCATTCTAGATGCAGTGGAAGCAGCCACATTTAGAGAATGTGAAAGGAAAAGACATGGTAATTTTACAAGCAGTGCTATAAGAAACTTGAGTGTAGTCAACCTGCATTTCAGTATTGTTCTGAAAATACTACAGCTCAAGTATGAGGTAGACACCCAAAATAAAGAACATTGAAAATGTAAAATAATATGAAAATGTTGTCACTAAAATTCAGTTAAGAGTTTTCAACTTAAGATATTTCTGATTATTCTTAACAAAAAAAAAAAAAATACAACATACCTACTGTTGAGTCACAGCTGGCACCACTGAAGGGCACTCTATATACCAAGGACTACTCAAAAGTTAACTTTATTAATTCACTTGAAGGAGAGGCTCAATTAATGTTTAGACAAAGCTGACCCTTTAGGTGGTATTAACACTAGTCCTACAGGTGTTCAAGGCATACAGCTTTGATTTGGAGTATGTAAGGTCTTTTCCACGGAATCACAAAAAAATTAAGGCAATTATGTAATATTCAAGAAAACTCAGTCAAAGTACTCGTAATAATCTGTGGATAGTGCTAATTTTACAGACTCTGATGGCTGAAAAGTTAATACCTAGCCCTGGCTTTATGAGTGTAACATTACAAAAAGGCGAAAGATTTAAAAAGATTAACAGAAAAACCCAAATTCAAATTATTTTGCTTTCCATATCAGAAAACTGCAACATAGTATTTTGTTACACTTATTTCCATAGCACATACACAATCAGCGGTTCTATTTCTACTTACCTGTTTGCATTTGTCCTCAGCTGCCTTCTTATCCGTTTCAGCCTGCTCTGCTCTGTCAATGGCATTCTCCTTGTCTAACTTCAACATCTGCATCTTTTTCTTGATAGCTTCCATTTTTGCTAAACGATAGGTTGTATCTGTTGCGCCACTAAAAGAATTCCGAAGAGTAAAGTTTTAGATTTTTAACAGCTTGGGCAGAGACAGAAGTTGTACCCAGCCAAGTCACAAAGAAAATGAGCTCAAGTGGTTGTAGGGAGCTTTAAACCCAGAGACCCCTGGACAAAACCCAGATCCAGTGGCCTCTTCTCTGATCTTTCATACACAGCCTTTCTAAGGAATGAGCTGGAACAGACTCACTAGAGGAATCTTCACCACTCCATCATCTCCTTATTTGGGTCCTGTTTTCTTAAAGAGAAAACTGTTTCCATTTTTAAGCTTCTGACAGAAGCAAAAGTGTTGACATATGAACACATGCTTGCAAGAAAGCTTATTAGCACCCCTCCATGTTTGCAGTGCAATTAAACAGCCCAGTAGATCTATGGGGATGGCCTGGGTTGTTATAATAATCGCATAAGACTAATGAAGGAAAGGGAAGAATCTTTTGGATTATTCAAAAATAAATGCATGCATAAAATAAAATTTAAAAAAAATCTACACTTAAGACGTAGCTAAATTTATGTTATAAAAAAGATGCAGGGTATGAGACAGCAGGTTTTTTGCTGTGAAAATGAGCACTGGTGTTAAGGAACTAGCTATAATCTGTAATAGTATAATATGTAACAGAAGTCCTATTTAGATCCCAAGTTCAGGCTCAAAGGCATTCAGTGAGTTTGAGTGCCTGTCTTGGAAATTTCACTCACTAAATACTTATAGAACTGAAAATACACCTGAAGTTGCAGTCTGATGAGCACTGTAAATTATTTCTTCTGCTGTATGAAGGACTCATCTCCTCTCTGAAGGGCAAGGCAAAAGTAGGCTCTGGAAAGAGCATCAGGAGCAGCTCCACTGAGGACACCAACAAGAGCATCTAGTGACCCCAGGATGAGCCATTTCCTTTTGCAGTCCTGTAAAACACACTTCCATACCCCCAACTGCACTCTCCCACCCTTTCATATGCTCTCTCTTAGCTTCCCTGCTTTGTCCTGACTGCAGCAAAGGCTCACTTATTTCACCACCCATAGCTAATGGATAGCACTTGTTCACTTTCTTACACAGGGACCTGCATGCCCTCATATTCTCCCACTTCTTCCCCAAATTCAGGTCACATCAACCATCCACTGATCCTTTCCTCCCCGAGTCTGCCCCTACTCGGCTCCCCACAGCCCCATGTTCCCTCCCAGGCCACACACTGCCCAAACTCTCTGCACACCCTCACAAAACCTGTCAGACTTTTCCTCAGAAGCACTCACAGCAACCCCAGCCATGAGGGGTAACCAGAAGACTCAAGACCCAGGAACTCCCTCATCCTCTGGAGTGAGCTAGCATGGCACTGAAAGGCCTTCAGGAGAGACGTCTAAGGAAAAATTGCCCTTTAGTTTGCTAAACACAATGGTAGAATGGACATGAAGCCAATACCAGCACAATGCCTAAAAGCATGGCCAGAGCCCCACAGACCATCCCCAAAGCACCACCACACCCGCTCAGGCTGACTTTTTTGTGAGAGAATTACTGCTGTTTCGATTCAAAATAAAACCAATACTTCTACTAAACCCAGGACCTCAACACCCAGCAGCCTCGCCCGCTGCCTGGTGAAGAGGCTTCGCGCCCCGCGCCGCCCCGCCCCATCCCAAGATGGCTGCCAGGAAGCTCCCTGAGGGGCTGCGTTGTGGTGGCGCCAAGATGGCGGCGCGGCCGAGGACTACAATTCCCAGAGGGCTGTGCGCAACAGTCCCGCCCCACGCCCAATGGCGCCGGCAGGTCTGCAACGCCCTTATAACGCTGCGCCGGGACATCCAGCGTGTCCGTAGCTCCGTTCCTCATTAATGGCAATTAAATCACCCCAGGTTCAGCTGCTTTTTTTTTTTTTTTTTTTTTTCTTTCTTTCTTTCTTTCTTTCTTTCTTTCTTTCTTTTCTTCCCCTCCCCCATATATGAAACAATGCTCGGATTTTTTAACAGCTGTAAATTGTGTTTGCTGGGAAACCGGTGCTGGCTCTTTGTGATCCAGTGTGTGCCTGGACTCCTCGGCACGCCTCACATAATTAAATGTGCTTTTCCTCCCAGAAATCGCCATATTTGCCTCCCATCCTCTGGCCCACAGGTACCGCTGTGACAAGGTGGCCCCATGGCTATTTTTTGTCTGATTCCAGTGATTTAAACAGATAAAAACATGTGGGTTCTGAGCCTGGGAACAGGCTTAAGGAGTAAGGGTGAGGCACTAAGTGAACAGTGCTGCTGAACCTGCAGAAATAGCATTAAAAACTAATAAATGATATTGATCACCATCCCAGCTCACATTTCACCTTGTCCTCCCGCCCTGTTAGTTTGCTGGCTCAGCCCTGGCCGAGGGCAACGGCTTGCTGCAGGGATTTGGGGGATTTGTGCTGATGGTGGAACCCTGGGCGTCGAGTTAAGGTCATTGCTGGTGATCACAGACTGGTGCTGAACTGCCCAAGGAGACATGCAGGGTCCTGGCAGCCACCATCATGCTGCAGCTGCCCCTTCGGCCAGCCAGTGCGGTGCAGCCGTGGCAATCTCCACTAGCTTCCTTCGGAGCAATGTACACCTTTAATAACTTCCTCCTGCTGGCTGCGACCCGGTGGTCCAGCTCACGTGCTTCTCCTGGGAGCTCAAACCGGTTGGCCATGTTTTATGGCTCCTTCGGGGCTTCCCTCCCTCCATCACGCTGCTGCTGGCATCCTGCCTCTGGGCCGGATCCCGCAGGGGTATAGCTGTTTCACCCTGTGGGCCTGCATGCCACGGGGTGGGGTGGATGTGCCACAGGCCCTGATTGTAGCTCTTTTTCAGGAGCTGGGTTTGGGGTGCAGCTTTGGAGATGCATCAAGTGGTGGAGGAAGCGGAGGGGGGAAGGACTGCGCTAGCCCCGTTTGACCTGGCGCAGGTAGGAACTCGTGTGATGGAAGCAGACACAAGACCCTGCATGCCTCTCCCTGGGACTACAGCAGCATGTAGCCTCAGGTTCACGTTTCAAGCTGTTTCTATGGCTGCTTTCACAGCCTCTTCATAATTTCTGATTATTGAGAAGAGTGGAAGTGGCTTCCCAGCCAGCTTACCAGCCCCTCTCCTGCCACAAGCCCGGGCAGGCTCAGAATCGGGGCTGGAGAAGTGAACGCTGAACAAGACTTTTTTGCCTTTGTATTTCTACTGCAGGGAGATATTTTTTCTAATCAACTCCATAGCATGAGTCAGAGCCACATTTAGAAAGGAACATCAAGGAACATGTCACCCTGTGTAGCCCTTCAACCAGGTACATTCCCTTCTTCCTCTCCCTGCTTCCTCAACTGGAGAGAAATACCTGAAAAATTCACTCTGGTCCACCAGTAATGATAATTCTGTCACTCCCACAGCCTTTGGCTTTCATTAGCTTGGGAAACAGTGAGCAACCAAGAGAGAAAGAAGAGCTCTCCAAACAATCTTTTTTTTTTTTTTTTTTTTTTTTTTTTTGGCGGGCAAGAAGGTGCTTTACAGGCTGTAGGAATTCCTTTGTTTTTCCTTTTCTTCCAGAGGGATTGTTTGGGCCTAGCAAGGCTTGGCAAGGTTGGGTGTGTAAATATGAAAGGATACCAGAAGGAAATGAAGTTGGATTGTTTGGGAGTGTGCTCATTTATTTGGCAGCACGTTGCATAGGAAGCGTGTTGCAGCAGGCATTTTAACAGACGGGGAGGGGGTGGTCTGACCTGTGGCTTGAAGTCTGGCAGGTCTCAAAATTTTCTATTATCTCAACCCCTATTCCTTTTTTATTGCCTAGAAGGTAGCTGGGATCCATACCATGTCCCATTTTATTATCTGGGAAAACCAGATACTTTATATCCCCATTCTCGCCCCCAGCTCTTGCTCTGTTCTAAATTCCCGGTCATAAAAGATCACCTTCCTCTCTTTTCCACTGACCAAGCTCTAACTCCTCATAGGCAAAGCTGCATGTGTCAAGGCTGGAAACATTTCAAAGCAGAAGAAAGAAGCTGTTGACAATCTTTTACCAAATTTCCTTCAGTTTCTTAATGTAAGTATCTCCTAATAGTCTGCTCTCTCTTGTAAATTTTATTTTCTAGAAACTATATAATATGGTGTATCATTAGCAGCACACTGTAGCAAAGGTGGCACTAGAATGAACACGAAACTCATCTGTTCCTGGTGATTTCTTTTAAATGACAAAATATATGAACTCTCACATCTCACTGAATCTATTTTCTTTGTAGGTTGTCCCTGCAGGGCTGTCTCCCAGTGTGAAGGGTACGGCAGGGCAGTAACAATCTGTAATACCCTCTTTCTGATATTATCTCATTAAGTATCCATTACTCACCAGAGATGAAGACATGGTACTGGGCTAGGTGTGACCAAAATGGTAGATCTATTCTTCCCATGCCTAGATCCAAGTGGAATTTACCTCTTTTCTTAAATGATCCTGGTTATCTGAATTTCCCAGCAGGGCCTTGAACTCCTGAGATGCTGTATTTGACACTGTTTTGGATAGGATGGCAGGATTCACTCGGCACCTGAAACATGCGCCTGCTTGGGAAGGCTGTCTCACTGCCAGTATTTGGTACACCAGAAGGAAGCAAATCCCATTCCATCTGCATGTTAACATTCCTGGCTAATACGGAATGAAGTGGAGATGATGCCAGAAGAGAAGGAATCAGCAGCCTCTGTCCCAGGGCTCTGGCTATCCTTCCTTTCTCTGGGCTGGCTGTATTGCCTTAACTGGTGAGACCCATTCAGTCACAGAGAAGGATTTGCCTTTAGACTAAAGGACAATCACCTGTAGGGACCATCCCCTCTTCGGTTATTCTGCTATTGCAGCCCATTTTTGGGCCACAGTGAAAGCTTTAAGCTCTTCCTTGCCATTAGATGGCAATGTAGATCCACAAATCCACTTTCTTCCTTGAGCCCCTGGAAAACCACCTTGCTGCTGGTGGAACGGCTGGTAGAGCTCCAAGTTTTCTATTTCCACCT